CCCAGTGGCTTGGGAGGCTGAGGCAGGAGGATGGCAAATCTGAGGCCAGCCTCAGCAATTTAGCAGGGCCATGAGCAATGTAGTGAGATTCTATCTCAAAATAAAAAATAAAAAAGGGCTAGGAATATGGCTCAGTGGTTAAGCACTCCTGGGTTCAATCCCTGGTACCAAAAAGTACACACACACACACACACACACACACACACACACACACGCCCAACACTAGACTATTAATTTGACTCTTGCCTTTTCATTTTAGAAATTTCCACCCATCGAGCTTCCCAGTTAGCTGAGGAAAGGTACACCATGTCAAGCCGGTGATGATAGCCATTAACTTCCAAATAAAATTTAACAAGGACTTTCATTTACGATTCTCAGGCATTTACCTTATTACATCAGTTAAAATACACACTACAAAATGAGAGAACTCTGATGTCAATAAAGAATTCTACACTCACGACCTTGTTGATTACCCTCCAGGAGATTCCATGGTGACCTCAGAGGAGAGGGTGTAATTTAATGAGATGGTTAATATTTCTATAAAACCAGCAATCTGATAAATTCTTTTTAGGTAGGCACTTCCACAGAACTAGCATAAGTGACGGTTCCACCTGAAGCATTATCTTTTCTTGTACAACACTGAAAGCTTACATGCTGCTCGACAAATTTGAATTTTAAAAAGTAAGAATGATTGGCACTTGGTAACTTACACAGAAATATAAAGTGGTACAAGAAAATTGCCCATTTCTTTTAGATTTACATTTTATGTATTTTTTTTTCTTTTAAGAAGTGATAAGACATGTAATTTCCATCAACTTCAACCAGTTATGTATGAAAGAGGCTACAAGTTCAGCTCCCAGAACTAGCAAGTCATGGGGAGAGCTGTTGCACCACAAAAAAGGCAGACGGCTTTCCCAGCTGCTGTCCATTCTGGTGCCATAAATGGTCATTTTCGAGCCAAGACTAAAATCCTAAGAGTCAGATTTTTTCCCCTTGGAAACAATTCTTTTTGCCCTTGATTCCCTATATTCTGTTTCTCCATGTCTACTAAAACAAGAAGAAAAAGGAGGCAGAGGAATATAGCTAGAGTTCACAGACTTACCTTTATGAGTTGGATGCTCTAAGCAATTTGGTACAATTTGGCGCAATTACTTTCTATTAATTTGTTCATTTAGTCAACAAATATTTTCTGATTATATAATAGCAAAGCACCCAGACCTGTGCATATGCCACATTAACATTTCTTCATCGATCATTAAAATTTCAAAGATGTGGAATGATGAAGGCAATTGGTAGCCTCAATTCATAATAAAAATCTTATTTAGAGGAAAAGAAAGGTGCTGGTGGTAGTGGTGGTGGGGTAGCTCATGAAAATTGAAGGGAGATCAGTAGAGTAGGTGAAAGGGACCAGGAGGAGGGAAAGGGGATATATTGGGGAATAATATTGGCCAAATTATATTATTATATTGTATTTAAGTAGGAATATATAACTAAAAGTCCCCCCATTATGTGCAACTATAATGCACCAATAAAGAACATGGGAAAAATTCCTATTTAGGAATCATGCTTCCCCCACCCCCCTAGAGCAATATTCTGTCATGTCTATTTGCAATCTGTTTTCCTTTCATTGAATACAAATATCTGACCTCATGATGTAACACATGTAAAAATTGTATAAATTGACAAGACCATATATTTAATATTTTTCCTAGAATTTTCATTGACTTTTTCTTGTTTTAGTATATACTATACAAGCCTTCCCTTTCTCAGGGTTTAAACACTTTCCTCCAGCTTGGGCTGCAACCTGGAAAACAAAACCACCATTCTTTCGAAAAATAGTCAAAGTGGTATTTTCCTTCTTTGTCCAACTATCTGTTGAGCTCCTGATGACCACTAAACTAAGAACAAAGATATTGCAGTGGGCAACTTATATTAACAATCATTTTGTTAGCTGGGCCAACAATGAAGTTTCAGTTCTACATTTATTGGGGGAGGAGTGGGGAGCAAGGACTGGTTTATCTTGCTCACTGTGGCACTTGCAGCATTAGAATATAGCAGAGAGTTAAAAAAATGATTGAATGAAAGTTGTCAACCTCCTAGAGACTCCAAGCATGTAAGAGCTTTTTGAAGGTCACTTGGGTAGTAAGAAGTAGTTAGAATTCAAAGTGTGGCAATCCTGCAGCCTGTGTCCTTTTCCCCATGACATACTTGATGCACAGATTGGCTCTCTCTAGACCTCTTCCCTCCATCTCCTTGGTTCAATGCATATCCTTTCTTGGCAAACAGGAGGTGGGATAAAGAGTAGGTGGTTTCTTGGTAGAACAGATATCCATGAATGCCATCCAAAGTCCCGTCTGAGATAGTCCCAGAAGAATCTTACCTGGACTTCTGTCTTTTTAATCTGGGTCTCTCACATCTGAGATACTGAAATATATTCTAAATTACGTGATAGACCAGTAGATAACCTGCAAGCAGTCCTGTAATTAAAGGAGTGACACCAAAGCTTGTGACAATAGTCCCTAGCATTATGCTGATAGTGTCCCCCATATGAAATCCCCTCCCTAGAAAGGAGGAGATTTGACAAATATATAGTTGACAAATCTATATATGACTAAAAGCATAGCAGACCTCTGTGTCTATGGTGGGTGAAGAAAGATCCTCAATTATACGCCAAAATACAGGTTTTTGCAAGAAAGATTTAATGCCTATTGTCACACTTGGAGTTACAAGGTATTAATGAGCAAGATATACCAAAAAATGTATTTTTCCCCCCAGGCTACCAGGTTTTGCTGTTGGTATAGAATATGTGAAACCTTAAACTGTGAAGTATGAATCAGAAGGGCTTCCTCTATTATGAATGATGCCATCTTTAAGATGAGGGACTTTCAGTGAAATGCAGGAACACTCAGGGTAATGTGTTTGCAGCAAGCAGGATCTTGAATTTATTGCAGAGGGGAATGTGTGAGTTGACCAAAATGGAGAATGATGAGAAGTAACTAAATTATGTATGACAGTCTTTACCGAGCAGAGGAAGGAAAAAGCTTAATGATGTTGTGGCCGAAGGACCAGCAGCAATTGGTGATGTATTGGCTGTAGATTGGTAAGAAGAGAAATGCATCTATGAAGATCCAAAGACTATGGATGAGCCTGCCAAGGATCAAGAGATAGAATGGGGGGCAGGGGAGGGAAACAAGGGACTCAGGGTATAATACATTTTAGTGGCAACAAGACAGTCAAGGAAAGTCCATTTGACATTAAAAATCACCATCTTAATCTATATTGCTCTTTCAAGTCTGAATTTTATTAAGGCCACCCAAAAATCTATAGTTAACAATGAAGCATCTTTCTGTTTTGCTTTCCGGGCAGTCACCAAGAGCAGTACATAATTTAATTATTGAATCCACAGACTGGACCATGGAGATGAAGAATGATGTGTCTGCTGTAGTGAGAAATTGGATAGAACAAACTGTTTATTCTCATCATTCTTCCTCGGTTAAGCTAAATTAATATAGTTAATAAGCTTTTGTTTGGATTAGTATTCAGATCTGGATGTGCAGATAGGAACTGACGATTATTACAGTAACTATTATTTATGGAACATTGGAGGTATCCCTCAAGCCCCATGCATAAAACAGGTTCTTCTGTCATTCACCAATGTTTTATCAGATTTAGGGGCCAGATGTTTGAATGGAGTTATGAAGTGCAAGAAAATCAGATTTAGTTCCTTGAGACATATGGCCCTGGAAACTTCACGATGACCTTTCCTATTGTCCTGTGCCCCCTTTTCCTGATCTTCTTAAACAATTTGAAGAAACCTACACAATTTTAGTGGGCAAACTTTACCGGGGAATTACCAAAAGTCATGTGTGCCCAGAGTGATGGGAGTAGAGAGGGGGTGGTAGACTGTAGCAAACATCTCAGGCCTTTCCACACAATTTCAGTAGAAACTGTAAACCGATCAAGCAAAACGCAAATGCAAATGCAGCTTCRAGGTATCTGTGCCTTTAGGCGCACCGTGCCCAAACAAATCCCTCTAGTATGAAACTGAAGCCGGCAGRGACAAATAGTCCCCTCCAGCGCACCGCTACACAGCAGGCTCATTCCAAAGGCAAAAATCAGTTCCTCTCACTTGCTGCCCCTTTCATTTTCACGGCATTAGATGCGCTGAGTCGTCTTTCAGTCACATATAATAGATGTTTATTTAAGCAACAGCTTAAAGAAATTGGTAGGAGACCTAGATGGGAAAGAAATCCCACCACTACCCACAGAAACCACCCAGCCCTCAGATGGGTACGGTCAGACCCCTGGGAATGGTGAGGAGCAGGTCCCTCTCGGGCACCCAACCCGGGGCCACCGAGCGCCACGAAATGCTGGGCGGGGCGGGACAAGCAGCTGCTCSACTTCTTTGCGCGGCCGCCGTGGGCGGCGCAAAAAGTCAGGGGCTAAATCTGAGCCACCCGACTCCACAAAGCGGCCCRGCACCCCCGGGGCAATCATTAGCGCAGATGCCCTGGCCCTACAACTCCCCAACCCGAAGGTGGCCTGTGCGAACCGAACCCGCACCGTGAGTGGGAGGCGGAGACACCAGGCGACTCCCCGCGGCCGTGCGCACCGTCCCCGCCCGCCGCCGGGCCGCCGCCCCCTCCGAGCGCGCGCCGCGCTGGCCGCTGCCACCTTCCGGCCACGCAGCGGCCCCGCCTCCTCTCGCGATTTCCTTCCCTTGGGCGCGCGGCGGCGGCGGCGGCGGCGGCGGCGAGGACGAGCACCAGCCAGCAGGCCAGCGGAGCCCGCACCGGAGCGGGCGGGGGCGGCCGTGCGGGTACGCGGCCGCGCGCCACGTGGCTCCCCGGGGAGCGGGGTACCCGGCTCGAGGGCCTGGGTCGGGCGTGGCGAGCCCTGAGGAAGTYCTGCTCCGCGGGAAACTTGACAGAGGACCACCTGGGGTGGCGGCGGGGGCTCGGCTTCTCTCGGGCACGCCGGGGTTAATTTAACGGCGAAGGCTGCTGCCTCTGCCGAGCTTTCTCCCTCGCGGTGGCGGCGGGAGTTGGTTCTGGGAGTCTGAAAGTAGCAGTCCTTCTGGCGTCCACGTGTTGGGGCGGGAACGTGGGCTTTAGTTTCTGGATCAGAGCTGAGGGAGTTTTGGAGTCCTGGGTTTGCCCAGGCGCGGGGCTAGCTCGGTCTTCCTGGACTAGTGGTATACCAGCCTCAGGTCCCTTCCGTTTGTGCAGCTGGGTGTCAGTCCTCCCTGGGCTCCAGTGGGCACAGGACAGGTGAGGCGTGCGGCGGGGTAATGCACCGCTTTCCCTTCCTGGCCTGCCTTCCCCCATTTCCTCTCTCGCTCCTGTTTAGTAGGTACTTACGTGGCACTCTATAGCCTTTGCAGGTGCCAGTCCTTACGCCAGGTGGGCAACCAGGCCAATACAGCATCTGGGTGTTCTAGTTAAGAGGGTTTGCAGGCTCCTCAGAATTGAGGCAACAGAATCAGTGGGCATTTAACCCGTTAAATGTCATTTATCCTTTTCAGGCACTTCTGCACTGCTTAGAGCCAAAGTTTAGACTCCAAAGCTTGAAGTGGAAGTTTTGGGAATTTCTCGCTTTTTTTTTTTTTTGACTTTTTCAGTGATCTGAATAATTGAGGGATCTTTTTTTCTTTTTTTTTTTTTTTGAAAGACTTTCTACCTGAAGGTCTAGACCACCTTCATGGGCTCTCCTTATTGTTGAGACCACTGGTGCCTGCCCTGAGTGAAGCCCGTGTTGCAGAAACCCGAGTTTAGAAATAGTTTATTGTGATTTTTTTTAAGGTGTCAATTATTATGCTTTATTAAATTCTAGGTATCTGCCACACTTRTAATACTTTTCATCTTTTAAAAAGCTCAATCCCCTGGGGTTTCACATGTAAATTTTAAATATATAACAGTGTATTTTTAAAAATTAAAAAAAAAAAGAAATAACACTTTTCATAGTTTTCATTTGATCTGGTCGTCAGAGTTTCTATAACTTCAGTTCCATCTAGGGAAAGGAATTATCTGGTTAATTTTCAATTGGGACAGCTTTAGATGTTGACTTGGGAGTCCAAGGGGCATGGATAATACTCCTGTGTGGCTTAGGGCAAATTYCCTAAGTTTACTAAATCTGTAAGATGGGATGTTACTGCCTACCTTAGCAAGAAATGAGGCTTGAGCGAGATGATGTATATAAACAAGCTGTTTGAAATCTATTAGGTGATCAATAAACATTTCTTTTATACTCTCCTTCCTGTGCTGACTCCAAATTATAAGGGAGGAAGAGCAATTTGTAGGTCTGTTGTATGTAGTAACTTGAAAAAATATCCCATGTGACAGCAGTAAAAAGATGAARTTGTTGGGAATGTGAACCTAGTCATAGGTGCCAAATTCATACTTCTGAAATAGTAAAATTATTTTTTTAAAGACCAGAGACTGTCCAAGGTCCATGTTTTGTGACTCCTGATTGATAAATGTAGTTAAAATTGTCTGTTTAGAGACCCAGAGTTTAGTTTGGTGCATTGAATCAAAAAGCAGGTTTACCAAAATACTTTTTTTTCAACATTTTCTCTAGATTCAACATGAGTGAAGTTTCCTGCAAAAAACGGGATGACTATTTGGAATGGCCTGAGTATTTCATGGCAGTGGCCTTCTTATCAGCACAGAGAAGCAAAGATCCAAATTCCCAGGTAAATGAGTTTCACAGGGGATGTGTGGGTAGTCACAGAGTGTTGCTTACAAGTGAATAGAATACAAAAGGGGATGCCTGTCAACATGCAAATACAGAGTAAGTCTGCTGCCTTTGTGCTGTAGTCCTGCATGCATACATTTCCTGTAGAGACTCTAGTTTCCTTCACTGACCACCCAGTGGTAGACCAGCCAATTGTAGCCACCAAGGTTTTGCATGTGTTTCCCTGTAGGTTGGAGCCTGCATTGTGAATACAGAAAACAAGATTGTAGGGATTGGGTACAATGGAATGCCAAATGGTTGCAGTGATGACCTTTTGCCCTGGAGGAGAACAGCAGACAATAAGCTGGATACCAAGTATCCATATGGTAAGGCATTTTATATTCTATCCTGATTAGTGACATAGCTTAATTGGGAGGTGCTTAATTCAGAAAGTCACAAAGCATTATCTTCCTTATCAGTTACCACTAAATGGAAAGAAAAAAAGTCCTGTTAAATTACTCCAATTTCCTGTCCCCATCTTTTAAGTTCATTTCCAAAGAGAGCCACTGATGGAAGCATGGTAGTGCCCCACAGCCTGGCCCTGAGGTCCTAGGCTCTGTTGCCTGTGGTGGGCCTGGTGTGCTTGCCTGGCAACCTGTACAACACCAGAGCAGCAACAGAGGTCTGCAGCCCCTTGGCAGAGATAACTGAGGGATGCGCATAGTGGCACTGAGGTTGTTTCTTGACTACTAGRAAGTGGGTCAGCTCACCAAGTGCTGCCTGCAACTTTGCTCCAATGAAAAAGCAGGATTCATTCAGTCTCTCTGCTGAATTAGTTCAAACTCATCTCTGGCAAGCAGGAATCAAGCTGAGCTGGACCTCAGGAGATGGATGGTGCAGTTGCTTCTTCYTATTGTGGGGCCTCTGCAATCCCACAGTGGTCTGTGGTCAGATGAAAAGCCAGAAGGTGTGGAAACAAAAACCTTTGGCTTGCCTATCTGGATTTTCACTTTGAAGTTAGGTGAGGGTGCTTCTTAGAATTTATTGAGCCCCAGAGAGAATCCTTTCAGAAATTATCTGGGAGAGACAAACCACAGCCTCACTTTTCCTTTTATTCCCCAAAGARTATGCAATTAATGCCATAAAAGAGGCTAATTGAGTTGCGTATGTTGGTTGCTGATTTTTCATAATGTTCAGGCCTGTATTTATGTCTGAAAGTGAACAGACTGGCTCTGTTGGAAGTAAAGTAGATTAAGGCCATCCAAATGGGAAAGATGTGCTTTCAGGAAACCAAGTTCAAGGCATGATGTAAGACCTTTCTTCTTTGTTGACTCTTCCCTGTAGGTTTTCTCATGAAGAATTCCAAGTCTGCATTTAGTCTAATTTACTTTTTCTAATGTTCCTGGACCTTCATCACCATAAATTTCTAACTGCCAAATCCTCCATGTTTGAAAGAAAATGAGAAAAGGTGCATAGAAGTAGAGAAGGAACTGAGGAATGAATGTGGGGACAACAAGGAAGCATTTGGGGTGTTCAGGTATTAAAAAAACATAGCTCAGTGATTAAGGGGATTTAATAGTCATTTAGTCAGTTTAACTTCACCCTGGTAGTAGTAGGAAGGGCAGGATCAGAATTAGGAGAGAGTAAGACTGTCTTCTCAGCCCCAGTTTCATAGCTGATGGTAATGAGTTATATGAAAAATGTGCTAACATTTAAAAAAAAAAAAACTTTTTTGTCATCCTGCTTTTGATTCTGTAAGCGTTTGATGGTAAGAAAGAGAGGAAATGATTAGTTGTTTTTAGGTCTATGCAAAAATAATTTTTCACGGTACACTTCAGCGTCCCATATAAAAACAGTGAAAGTGAAAGGGTCGATATAGTAAAGATCTACATTGAAATGTATGACTACCACAGTCAATATTTCACCGAGTCAAGACAGTGAAATATTGGTCCTCGTGCTGAGCTTGGATATGGAGGAATTCTTAGGAGATTTAGCCTGTTGTTCCCAGGCTGGTGGCAGAAGATGCCAGTGAATGAACCAGTGTGGAGGGATTCTCATTGGCAGTCCTCCCTATGAGACCTGTACATTCTTTAGTCACTGTGAGCCCCAGGGAAATTCATTGCAGTGGCCTGCAAGCTCAAACCTTTGCACTTGCCAGTGTTCCATAACCTCTCAAGTGACTGGTTGTATTTGCTCTGAGACATTGCCTTTTGTCCAAGTTGGATAGAGAACCTCTTAGAGCTGCTTTCCATAAAAAAAGAAAGTTTTTGAAAACCCCCACAGGCATCTGCCCAACTGCTCTGATTGTTTTTTATTGAATAGCTGCTGAGTTTTAGAGCACTGGTTGTCTGCCTGCATTATTATTATTTTTTTTTATCATCCATATGATACCTCTAAGTTTTCAAAGCTCTTTGCCCTCACTTATCAATTATTCATTTTATATGCAGCTGTGTTAGAATATAGGTAATTTTCTTTCACGGGAGTAAGCTTGTAATTTGATGTACCATAAAAGTTGTAGAAGGTATTAAATGGTTTTTAAAAGGCATTTAGTATTACTGCCATCGTAATACTTGTAAAGATAGGCTGTAAGTCTAAATAATGTTGACTGGGTATACACTGTACACTCATTCCTCTCTTCCATGCTTTTCAGGCCACAGAGAAATGTTTAAATTGCCTAGGATGTAATAGAAATGTTTGATGGTAGTTGACTAAAATGCAAATTCTTTCCCTTTGGTTTTTAAGACTTTTTAAAACTAAGGTGGTAATGTCTGGTATTGGATAATGTATTTCTTTCCTCACCTCTGTTATGGGTGACTGCTGCTGTGTCAGGAAGGATAGATTCATAGGTTATGCATTAATCCCTGTAAAGGACTTTTGGTAATTACCTAGAGATCTAGACCAGTGATTCTTAACTTTTGAATAAACAGGACTGTCTTTTAARCCTCAAAAACTTCCAGTATCTTTTCCGTAAGAAAATTCATGGTGATAAAACCTATTACATGTCATTAACACATTACATTAATATGATCTTTATTATTCAAACAGTGTGTTGGGGAATAAATAACACATTGTGTGCTAGACATAGCATTTATTCACTGAGGACCATGCTAGGCCTCTTGCAGTACTCCAGTAATGCTTCATGGTTCTCTGCACAGAGTTGAAGCCTACCCTGTTCTTTTAAGTAAATTCTGTGATGTTGCATGTGCGTGGTGGCATCTCCTAACTTCGTGRTCAGTGCTCTTTATACTATGCTACTCTCTCTCTCCAGTGAGGCTCAGGAATTCAGCTTTTCTGAAACACCAATCATCTTCTTTTGCAATTGAACAGATTGTATCTTAGATGAAGTGGCTCCTCAAGAACTCGGAGAGTGGTGACCTGTGCTTAGTGTTTAGAAAACCACTTGCAAATGACTTAATGTTTCTTCAGAGGGGAGTGCAGGGGACTAAATGTTTGTGTCCTCCCTACAAATCAGTATGTTGACAATCCAATCCAAATGTGATGGTATTTGGAGGTGGGCCTGTAAGAGGTAGTAAGGCCATGAGGGTGGAGCCCTTATGAATGGGATTAGCACCATTATAGCAGGGACCCCCAAAGAGTGCTAATTCTCCACCATGTGAGGACGTAAGAAGGTGATAACCTGCAAATGTGGGTGAGGGCCCTCAATAGAACCTGGCAAATTAACACCCTGATCTTGGCCTTCAAACCTCCAGAATTGAGAGAAATAAATAAGTACTTTGTTATAGTAGCCCAAAGTGACTAAGCCAGTGAGCTTAGAAATTGTGCAAATTCAAGTTTATCAATAACATACAACTTATTCTACTTTAGTAATTCTGTAAGCTTGAAGTCATTAGCCTTGATTGACACTTTATAGGGAGGAGGGAAACACAGAATACTTATAAAATACTAGGAAGAGTTTTTTTTTCTGGGCTGTATCTCTAGAGAGGCATTTTTAAAGAGTGTTTTTGTTCTTCCAGCCTTAGGATCAAAACTTCATGAAACTATTTGATTATAATGTAATGTTAATATGGAAAGTGAAAATTCCCCCTRCTAAAGAAACTGCTTTTATTTCATCTTTTTCTTGGAAAATCCAGAAGATAGTATGTCGTCAGTAACAGTAAATGGCAGGAAGAAGGCAGCATTGTTATAGTGAGAACCCTCTCAGGTGAATGGCAATTAAAAACCCAGGAAGCAGCAAATTTATCTAATTTATCATAAGAAGAGACTTTGGAAGACTTTTATTTTTACAAGGGGGTGTATTACTAAACTCACATGAAGTGTTCAGTTGACATTTTTAGTTTCTTTTTCTCTGTGAACTTTATTACGGTGAAACACATTTAATCTAAATATCAATTTTATAAAATGGAGGTAAAATACTCTTGGTAATACAGGTATCACTCTTTCCTTAGGTTTTTGTAACTAGTTTTGCTGCTATAGTTTACAGACCACAGAGTTGAGTAGAGCTACCCGATTGTTCAGCTGCAGGGAATTTTGAGCAGTGCTTGCTCGAGTCACCCTGCCTTTGCACCTGTTTCCCATTCATGAAGGGTCTAGGGTGTAAGTGTCTTGGCTTGGCCGCCTCCTCCCACCCAATTTATGGAGAAGCCAGGATTGCCCTGCCTGCCAGATCACACCTTGTCACATTAGGGACCACAGTCTTGATGTGCCTGGGAGTGGGAGGTAGCCTCCCTCAGAATACACTGGGAGAAACAAAGACCCRTCTGTTCCTATCCCTGTAGGACTACCCTAAAAAAGATACGATTCTAGGAAGCAAAAACCTGGAATTAACTAAGGCAAGTGATGGCATGGCAGCTTTAAACACTTTTGCCAGAGTGTGGCAGTGCTTCTTTAAATTTTATATTTAAATTTAATCTTTATTTTTCAGACTTAGCATATTGTTAAGCATGCATAGATGTCATTTTCGTGATTACTTAGCCATTTACCTTACCCTCTTGAACACTGACATTTTCCTGACTGCCATGCGTGTGATGTATTTCTTTGGCATCCAAAAGGTTAGTCTTGAGAAACTAATTTATCAAGAAGTTAGGAGACTGATCCTTCTTAAGCTGTGACTTCCTCACAACTTGTAAGAGCTTCTTAGTAATTAAGATCAAATTTGTTCTTTCAGTCAGTTGAAATTGAATGCCCTCTGGTTTTGTTAGGCAGATCCTGGATTTGATGACTTGCTGTTTCTTTTTCTGCAGAATTTAATTTCACTTATAGCTTCCTGCCATTCCGACCCTGCCTAGCCATCTAGGAGTTATGGCCTGACAGCGTGTCTAATTAGAGACTTTTGTACAAAATAACTAATATAATCAATGGAAAACCTTTGAGCACTTGTGCAGGAAAGAAATTAAGTAGATTGTTTTTGTGAATCAAGGGGCAAACC